GTGGAGTGCATAGAGGAATTTAGAAAAGCAGTTTTATGATTTTATTCAGAAAAATAAACTTTGTGTATTGTCCTCTTATTTCAGAAGTGTACCTATTAAATATACAGTGCAAAGAATTTTCATCAGATCTGATAATCTATAAACACATTAGTGGGGAAAATAATTTCCCGTATCATGTTGGAATTACTGTTATTCCTTTATATCACAGCTTCTCTTGGTCTATAGCAAAAGATATTAAGTTTGAATGTTTCCCTGCAGTTATAAAGGCCATATTAAAATATTCTGAAATCATGATGTCATCATGAAAACTGAAGTTGCATGATTTGATGAGATCAATTTTTGCCTCAGTAAGTTTGTTTATCTAGTGGTAGAGAAAGATGCACTCTTGATGTTTTCACATGATAGACATAAAATGATGGGATTCATCTTGCCTGCATCTAGTTGAGTAAATTAATCATGTAGCTCTCTTGCTATCTGATAAAGAGACATATGTATCTCCCAAGGTCAGTTAATCTTCTCCTAAACAGTGTAATGAAGAGATACACATGAATGGTTATTGAGAGCTCTCTCATTGCAGCAGCACAGTGCTCAAGACAAATAATTTATCTGTCAAAAAATATGCATGTTCATCCACTCTGAACCACTTGCAGATTGGTTGCAGTTTCTCAAACTCTTGTAGGCCTACACGTATTGCCTACACATATATGCAGTGATCTAAACAGCAAGGGTGATTTTTGTGCTTAGTTCCCACTTTGAATTAGCTTCACTCAAACTGTTAATTTTCTGTAATACTCAAAACATGAAACACCCAAAGGAAGAGTTTAATTTAATCTTACTTTATTTCATTCCAATAGCGACATGAAGAAATAAAATAGGTACAAAGCAACTGAGACCTATAGGGAAAGCAGCCTTTTCATGGGTAGCTCTTCATTTCTGTCTTCATCACAACTCTCTTGAGTGCCATTATCCCCTACTATCTGTAGCAGTCAGAATCCTTCTATTCACCTTGATTTTTATGAGCTTCTTCTGCTAGAGAGAAATAAAAAATAAAAAGAAAATTAATTATATAATTAGGCAATTGTATATTCCTCAAAACAGTACTTCTGCCTTTATTTTCTGTAGCATTCTTTATTGTCTACCACTTCCTCTTATTAGGAGTTGGAATTTTGCCTGTTTTCCTTTGATGTCCTTCATAGGATCCTAGGATAAGTCAGGTTGCAAGGGACCTCAGGAGGTCTCTAGTCCAATGTTAGGAATAAGATCAAGCTAGATTGCTCAGGGCTTTAGTTAGTCTGGTCTTTAAATCATCGATGAAGGCAGACTTCACAACCTCTCTGGGCAGCCTGCACCACTTAGTATCTGATTGTCCTTACATTAATAATACAATTATTTTGCTTGTTAATAAGTATATTGCTCTACTATATACTGTAAATGAATAATACAAAGAATAAGAGATTTGGTGTTTTCTCCCCAAGATTAGTTTCAGAGTAAGAAAAGTACAGAAAATTAGCTATCCACTACCAGCACACGATACGCTCCTGACAGAGCTAACACAGCTCTGGACTTGGACACTCAGTGGTAGAAATTAGGACTCTTACATTTCAGAACAGATTCAAGACTGTATCTGACTGGCCTGGCAGAGCAGCCTGGTGCCCATCTCTATTTTTTCTCCATTCTAAGGGTATGAGTTTTCTGGAAGTACTTTACTTTGATTAACCCCATTGAAAATCAGAACGTGTGATAGCTCCTATTTGTTTTTCTGATTGAGCCATTGGTTTTTATTGATATGAAAGTTATGTTTCTTTGTGAAGAAAGTAAATGGATCTCCTCTGTGTGGAGGCAAGGTTGCACAGTCCCTGGGAAATGGTTTGGGAGACAGAAGTGTCCATCTGCTGGTGTGGATGGCGGAGAGCAAGAGTCATAGCAAAAGGACTTGGGAACCTGTATTGTGCACAGAACCTAAGAGGCTGCAGAGAAGCACAGAGAAGAAATAACCAGCCCTTGGTGGGGATGGAAAACAACTTCTTGGGATCAAAAAGTACTTGGCAGTTTGCTTCAACTCAGAAATCCACTTACTTGGTTGAAACCAAACTTAAAAGGAAGGACAGGCAAAGGGAGAGGTACTGATATCCATTATGTCTGATCTAGTTGCTCCAAGTGTTCTTGGTCATAAATTCTGCATTAAAAGTAATTAAATCTGTCTTTTTTTTTTTTTTTAGTTTAAAAACCTTTTGTCTTCTTTAGAGAGATGTCTATAAAGAAAAGGTATAGACAGATGCATCTCAGTCCTTTGGCTGACTCTGGGTCCTGTCACAGAAAATATTAGCACAGAGCATGTTTTTTTGCTAAAATTGGCTTGTTTAATTTGACTTGCTGACTCATTTTTCCAGCTGGTCTGTCATTCTACTCAATTCCAGATGAGGCAATAGGAAAAAGAAAACTCTTTTGAATGTTCCACCCTCTTGCCAAACCAAGTAACAATTAAAAACTCCAATTTTCGTTGCAGTTCTTTATCTCTGTTAATTATCCAAGGAACAGTAAATCAGATATATTGTCCTCTGCTTGTTGTCAATAATTTAAATTCTGAATTCTTTATAGATTAGTTACAGATTTAACACGCTGCTTCTTTTCCCTAAATTACATACCATTTTGCAACTTGAATCCAACGCAGTGTTTCATTTTTGCATTTGAGATCAAATGTGAGACAGTCCAGTCTAATTGACTCATGTGTTTTATACACACACAAGCGAATCCACATGACTCCATCTTAACCTAATTAGCTACTTTTAATCCAAAAAAGACATCAGGTCACTCAACTATCTAACTAGTGGCATTGAGTGGGCTTTTTCTTACACGATAATTTTTGAGAAGAATGTAATCTGAATGAAGTGTTAGTGGCCACTGAACTGGGAGTAAGTGCGGGTCCAAAAAAAAACAACCCCGGGGTAGGCAGGGTCCTTGTGAGCTGAGGGATACCAATAGAAAACAACATTGTGATATTCAGCTTGGAAAAAAAATAGGTGGTAATTAAATAGAAACAGAAAGATCCATTAGAAGAGTTATAGCTGACATTTCCTAAAAGAGGTCAAGAACAAATGGGGGATGGCAAATGTAACTTCAGTTTACAATGTGATACAGTGTTAAAAAAAAAATAATAAATGAGATGTAGACACATCAGGTGAAGTCATGTTGCCAGTATCTGATATTTTCAAGGTACTAGAAGGCATTTTTCATCTGTCTCTATCCATACCAACTATGAGAACAAAATTTTACCATCACACATGTACAGTCATTCCCATACCTCTCTGGGTAACTAGAACTATAATTGGCTTGACTCATTGCTGAGAAAGGACTCTGTATGGAATAGTGTTATTAGTTTCATTGAAAAACTTCAAATTTTGTCTGCATTTTAAAAAAACAACAACCAAACACCTGAATCAGCATTCAGTGCGGCAGAGTAGTTGTTTTAATTTTGCTTTTAACTGCAGAAACAAAGGGTTTGTGCAGATAAAGCAAATCAAAAAATATTGTTAATTAAAAATGACATCTAACACAAAGTTTTGTTCACCCTCCTTGCGTATATGGGTCAACACTAATAAAATTTTGTCAATTGCTAACTGCTAACTGATGATTTGGAGATATTCCTACAGCTCTTGGTTAATACATAAGCTCTGCTTACATCACACATGTTTTGTTGCTTATTTGACAAATGAAGGTTTAGGTAGTAATTACACATGATAAATAATGAGATGAAAATTTGTATTAATAATAATTTAAAATCTTATCAATGATCAATGGTTCACAAGGAGTTTCTGCAATTTTGTATGGTGACTATTATTTAAATAAAACATTATTACTCAGTTATAGAGTGCATGCAGATTAATTGTATTACGGTTTAATTTTAAACATAGTCATCAAGTTCTATAGAAAGGAATTCATATTCTGATTTCATGTAGTGATCTGTGATTTAGAAAGTGAAATGATAAAGTTAAAGGTCCATAAAGAAAAAGATGCCTGAAAAGGAAAGGTAGTCTGGTTGTTGGACATTCCTTCAGAGGGAGGTGGTAACTGAACAGTTTATTAAAACCATTGGGAAAATATTTTTCCCACCTTTTACAGAAACGCTCAGCTTTGAAGCAAAATATTCATCCAGAAACTGAAACATAATATTTGCAATTTTTCTATGTGTCTTGTAGGATTTTGAATTTGTATCCAGCAATACTGTTTTTTGGTTTAAATTTTTCTCATTCAAATCAGACAATTTGCATGGAAAATAATTTCATTTGGATAGAATTTGATGAATGCTTCTGAAGCCATAACTCCCCTCAGTTGCTAAGATAGATTGGAGTTTCATTAGCAAAAAAGAAAAGAATTATGATTATAAAAAATATAGCTTTAATGAATAACAAGAGCTTAAAGGGAAATATCAGAGCTTAACACTTCCGTGGAACTCTGTTGCACCAATTTAGTGGTTTTACATGAAAAAGACTGAAAGTCTGAGCAAAATGAGATTTTTTTTTTCTGTTGTATCTGAACATTTCCTTTTTTTTTTTTTTTTTTCCGAAAATATTTTATACCCTAAGAAATTCTGGTTTGCACTGCTTTGAATTCTACTGCCATGCATATGTTCATTTTAATTCATTGGTGAGCATCTAATACCAATAGAAGATTAAGTCAACTAATTTAAGAAAACCTAAAGAGCTATAATGACCACCCTAGAAATAAAAAGTTAAATTATTTATGGATGGTAACCAATGTAAGAGCTTTAAAGTATGAAAGATGTATGAAAGGACATTCTTCCTGAGTTCTGCTTCACGGACCAGATAATAGGAATATATAAAATATCATAATAACAGTATATCTATTATGGTGATAAAAAATGAAAAATTCACGGTTTCCTTTTTCTGTTCAAATGTATGAAAAATCCAAGTATTATTAACTTGAGAGTTACAGCTAATTAATAACATATAGTTATATGCATTGTTTTTTAACTCACATAGGTACGTGTGTTCACATTTTCTGTTGGTCAGCATAATTACGACAAAGGACCTATACAGTGGATGGCCTGTGAAAATAAAGGTACTGTGTTTTACTTTGAGACTATTCTTTGCTAGAGCTTTGGGTAGGCAATATCTTTATTGTTCTCTAAAAATTGCAGACTTTCAGATTGCAGAATTTCAGCCTCATTTTAGCTGTATTGTATTTTTTAACAAAAATTCCAAAAAGATATTTGATGAAATAATGTGTATATGCATATATATAAAGAATAATCTTGCTTATTTATTTCTTATTACTTTATTTAAAACTTTATATTGTAAGACAAATATCAGAGTATTTTTAGTAATAATAATAAGATATTATAGTTCAGTTTTGAGAAATCTTGTTGTAATAGCCATCTATGAAAAGATGGAACTGATGACAGATAAGAAATTAAACAAAGCTGTTTTATATTAAGGGGTCTGGACAAAGGGATTTTTTATTTGGTTGGTTGGCTGGTTGGATTTCTTTCTGTTTTTCTCCAAAAAATGACTTGCATTTTTTTCCCTTTTTCGATGAAAATATCAAATCTATTCTTGTCGTGATTTCTTAGCTTCTAAGAAGATCTTATATTTTTTATTTTTATCCTGATTTCTTAATATAGAAAAAAAAAGTAAAAAAAGGTGAAAGTAAGGAAGTAAAATGTTTTCTTCTAAAATTTCTACATGAAAAATACGGTCAGAAACATTTAAAAAGAGTGTGAGAAAGAGGTGTCTCAAATAACTTACAGTATAATTATGGAGCAAGAGATAAGAGATAAATACAGATAAATAGAAAATAGAGAAAATATCAAACAATATTGTTTAATATTAAATAGAGCAATTTCCAGGCCTGACTGAAAATGTGAAAGTATTTTACAAATCAGTAAGAAGCAAGAGGTGGAGAGGTAGATTACAAAGGGTCTTGAAAATTAAAACTGCCAGGGAAGGAGGATAAGATATGATTCTCAGGCATCAGGATAACAGAAGCCAAAGATACGAGAAAGATATAGATACAGAAAAAAAAAATAATATAGAAGAATCCATAGCCTGTATGAATAACATACCTATCATGGTCTCATGAAACCCTCAGTTTGCTGGCAAGTTATGCAGAAGATACTATAACTTCATGAAGACCTGATTGTATTGTCGGATAATTACAGAAAATCAACATTTGTTTTTTTGAACAGACATTTTTTTAACTAACATCTTTGTATCTCAAAATACTGTTTGCATGTGAACTCTGTTGCTTTAAAACAAATGAGAACCAACTGGCTTAAAGCATAACCACCTATGTCATTTTATTGTCAAGGCAAAAAGATCATAATCTGTCCAAAATTGACGTGATTATTTGTTTGCACATCCAAAGAAGCAGAGTTTTATTCAATTTTTCCTTAATGAAAAGTTTTAATTTATTACCAATTCACTCATGGCTTATGGCGAACTAAACGTCTAACCTCAGTACTCTTACCTCTCCAGTCCTCCCCACTTCGTTCCAGTTTGACTTACAACTTAGTTGGTCTGAAACACGATCTCAGTGTCTGTCTTTTCAGGGTCATTGATGCATACGTGCAACATTTTTAATTCAAACAAATAAGTCATATAATCAATGATGAATAAAGACATTTCTGACATTTAGTTAGAAGAAATACCAGTTTGATTTTTTCACCCTTTCCACAGAGTGCCTTATATTTTTCCGCTATGAAAGTCACTGTTGTGGCAGACTGTATTTATTCTCTCATTCCTACATGTATTCAGCATATAATTATGTTGCTGTCACAGTGTGTTAAAATGACCAATACGTATACTGGCACATCAGGGTAACTGGAAATTCAGGAGCACAAATTCAGTACATTATCTCAGCTTTAAAAACAACAGACAAAAGAAACGTTATGTACTCTCACTGCTTAAGAGTAACTGGCTTGGCCTATATGACATGGTGACCCATCATATGTGGCCTCATATGGTGGCATCTACTAAAAAAGTACTACATTCATACACGATAATTTCTATTAAAATTAAAATAGCAGTTAAAAGCTAAATGAAATTCCTCAAGAATAAGAGGCTAGCAGTATATTATATTAAGATGGTATTATTTCTGTTCCAAATTTTAGGTTATTATTATGAAATTCCATCCATTGGAGCCATAAGAATAAACACCCAGGTAAGTGTATTGGCCAAAAGTAGATATAGTTGGAGTAATTTCTCTTCTTAAATATGTTGTGTTTCACTGCTGTTTGAATCAACTGAATTTTAAGATGCACTACATTAAGAACAGAGAAAAAAAGAGAGGCTTTCTTTTACATGTGAGGTATTATTGTGCTAAAGCATTCTAATTTATGTATTTCTTTGTAGTAGTTGCAGTGAGCCAATTTACAATGTGAGCCCTGCTTCCCTGGCCAGCTGGCCCACAGCAGCAAGAGCCTTATAAAGCAGCGTGACCACGTGCACACAACACAGCGCTTGAAGTGGTCTCTATCCTGCAGACCCTCTCTGCACAAGGGCTATGTTTTGGGCTCAGTTTTTCTCCTGGCTTTATATGGTCCCTCTTTGATCCTGAGACACGGCAACAATGTTTTTTTTCAAGTTCTACGAAACCCGTAGTTTTTTATAACATGTCTAGACATTCGTAGTCTGCCTCCTGCCACAGCGTGATCCTAAGGGTTTGTGTTACATGGAGAAGTATTTAATTACTCCTTACATGGCTGTGGATGTGCGTGAGGGCATCGCCCTGCTAGAGTATCTGAACTCAACTGGGCAGAAACAGTGACCTGGTACAATTCTGCTTACCGGAGAGGTTCCTGGATAGATCCAACCAGTCTGGGAGAGACACAGCTTTTTTCCTTCAAAAAGCACACAAGACAGTTTTAGCAGCCATGTGTGTAGATGATTAAGGGCACAGGACCCTGGAATTATACGGTGTGATCCAAACTGAGAGTGCAGATGAACAGATATTCTTTTTAGTTGTCTGAAAGTCCATGCATTCACATGTCCAGAAAAGCAGAGAAATATCATAGCAGTTCTTTGTCCTTCCAAGCCCAGGCATGACATTTTTTGGCAGAAAATGAGTCCTTTTTTTTTGGCTTGAATAAGAGTCCTTTGATTCTGTTAAACTCTTCCAGATAGTGTCTGGCAAGAAATATCCCTCATATGATCAGACAAATAGAAAAGGTTGAAGACTGAAACAAGTTTGATGGCATCCACTCCCAAACCAGACCAGAAATCTGACAGCTCATAAGATCACCAGCTTTAGCCATACTCCAGAACTGAAGGAAGGCAGGGACTGTGAGGCTTTAAAACCCTGAATTTCTTGTTCCAATAGAAGTTATGCAAGTTCTGCTGTGGGAGCTCAACATACCCAGCTGTTACACCACACACCCTCCATCGCCCACTCTCTCTTCTGGGTTGAAGGTTCTGTGATCTGCTTGTAATTAAATTATATCATTAGCAGTTAATTTTGGAACAGAAATAGTTGTAATTCTCACTTTGTGGAAAGACAGCAATGGTGATGGATGTGTAAGGTCCATGTGACTGAGAATGAGGTACAGGGAATTGCCTTTGCAGTAAATGCTGTACGCTGAAGACTAAGTAGTTGGGTACTATAATTCTAAAGGAGTAATTAAATACTACTCCTGTATTAGTGGTGAGTTTTGACTTCTTTTTTTTTTTTTTTTCCCAATCTGTTCATTGTTTTTATTTCATGGTTGTTTATTTTTGTGCTGTTTCTGGGCTTTGATCTAATGACTACCCTTTGATGAGTTTGTTGCACTTTTTGGCAGGAATATCTGGATGTTTTGGGAAGACCAATGGTTTTAGCTGGAGAAAAAGCCAAACAAGTCCAATGGACAAATGTCTACCTGGATGCTTTGGTATGATCTGTATTTATCGCTAGCAAAATAAGTAATCAGTAACTACAAGGATCCATTTACCACAGTCCTGAGGACTCAATTTCCTACAGTTTCAAATGTAATCCTCTTACACTTTCACATTTCCAGCATCTCTACATTTCAATAGAGCAATTTCCTGAACAGCTATTACTAACTTGCTGGTCATTACTTGCACCTAGTATCCTCCTAAGTGTTCTGAACTTTAACATAGAAAAACAATTTATACTACACACAGATCTTTAAGTGTAAGTCATTGTCGTCTCAAACTAAGAAAAGAAAAAAAAGAAGCAAACAGTTTTCCACTGTTGTACTTGTGCTGCAGTAGAGGTCATCTGTTATGTTACTAGTGTGGAGGTTTGTTTTTTTTTTAAAGGATTTTAGGCAGAATGAAACCTGACAATGTTCCTGGGTATTTGCAAAGATTTTAAACTTGGGTCTCTAAACTATCATGGCTGTTGTAATTACTTGCTTGCTCAAGGTAATGACTTCTTTAATTGACAGTGTATATAATGGGGAAATAAACAAAAAAGACATGTCAAATGTTTTCCTTACTGCTGAATTTATCACTTTGGTCTTGTAAAACAAACATATTCAGGAAACTACGAAATACAAAGTATTATTAGCAGCAATCCAATCTGTTGCTCTAGATAACCTTCTTCTGAGTAACTCTAACTAGGCAAAAAATACTGCAAAATTGTCATCTGGAATCATGTATTTATCCAAGTTCACATGGTCATCTAATGTCATGTCAAAACCACTTCTTCCCATCAGTCAGTATTACTGTAAAATTTTTGTCAACACACCATAGAACTGAGCGTGACACAGAGGAACTAGTTTTTCTTCTGAATTTCAATGGCCAGAAGTTCATTAACCATGTCTTCTTGGTTACAGTTGAGGTACTTACTGGAAACATAAAGGATGTTATGACGAAAGTTCGTATGTTCTGTACATATCCTGTTGTAAAGCCAAAGCTAAATTTGTAACTAGAGATAGAGAGAGATCTGTTTAATGAAGTAAAATGAGTGATACCTGCAGACTTCTGCTATGTTGCTTCGTATTTTCAGTGGGTTCATTCAGTCTTTCCTTATGTATGTGTGTTTGTGTATAAATAAGTATATGTATATATAGATATTTGTGTGTGTGCATATATATATATTTATATAAAGTAGGACATGTTCTTTTCACTAATGTATTTATTAAGTGAAGACCAACCCACACTAAACTGTTGAGGTAAAGCCTGAAATCTGTGGATTTTCTTATTACACATGAGGGCACAAAAGCACAGGTGCCTCTAATCCACTCTGGAGCCTTTTCCTGATCCTTGGATTTAGTAGAGATTGGGACTAACTTGTCACACTGGTTCTTTATCTCAAAATTCCCTAAAGCTGTTCCTTCCTGTAGGGCTTGCCCTTCTCCTGCTTGTGCCTCACTGGACTTTGTCCTGTCCTTTTTCTCTTATTGTCCAGCCCTTGTTTTGGAGCTAAGGCTAAAATAATGCAAAATGTATTACATGGGGTTATATTTGAATTGAGCTTAAATTCAGGTTATGAAATCCTAAAAAAGTACTTTCATTTGATGCTGTCTTTCAGGACTCTCTTTAATAATTTAAGTATTTCATAGAATCATAGAATGGTTTAGGTTGGAAAGAACCTTGAAGATCATCGAGTTCCAACCCCCCTGCCATGGGCAGGGACACCTCCCACTAGACCAGGTTGCCCAAGGCCACGTCCAGCCTGGCCTTGAACACCTCCAGGGATGGGGCCTCAACAACCTCTCTGGGCAACCTGTTCCAGTGCCTTACCACCCTCAAAGTGAAAAACTTCTTCCTAATGTTTAATCTAATCCTGCCCTCTTCGAGTTTATATCCATACCCCCTCGTCCTATCACTACATGCCCTAGTAAAAAGTCCTTCCCCAGCTCTCCTGTAGGCCCTGTTTAGGTACTGGAAGGCAGCAATAAGGTCTCCCCAGAGCCTTCTCTTCTCCAGGCTGAACAGCCCCAGCTAAAAAGTCTCTTCTCATAGTAGAGGTGTTCCAGCCCTCAGATCACCCTCGTGGCTCTCCTCTAGACACGCTCCAGCAGGTCCATGTCTTTCTTATGTTGAGGACTCCAGAGCTGGATGCAGTACTCCAGGTGGGGTCTCACGAGATTGGAGTAGAGGGGCAGGATCTCCTCCCTTGACCTGCTGGCCACACTTCTTCTGATGCAGCCCAGTATCTGGTTGGCCTTCTGGGCTGCGGTTGCACATTGCTGACTCATGCTGAGCTTCTGGTCAATCAGCACGCCCAGGTCCTTCTCCTCAGGGCTGCTCTCCAGCCATTCCCCACTGAGCCTGTATTTGTGCTTGGGATTGCCCCGACCCAGATGTCGGAATTTGTGGCAATTCATACCTCTTTTCTTGCCCTGTTCCTTCAGGTTCTGTTACAGTGTTGCTCCTACCTCCCTTTCTGCAAGCTAATTCCAGAATTTTCAGATACTTTTAGGTTTACCAGTTAGTTACAGTTCATTCACAGTTACTATCCTCTCTAACTGTACATTTTTTGGGGGCAGAGGGTGTTATTCCCCATACATTCCCCTACCGTTTCATTATAAATCTCTTCAATGCTACAAAAAATATCCTCCTGTCTCTTTTCTTCTGATTTACCTCCATATCCTGCTTCTCTTATTCTCCTGAAAAGTCCACTTCTCCCTTTCACCTTGCTTGTTGTAAAGTTACTAACTTTGATCTCATCACCTTTCATTTGATACACAAATAAGTTCGTGAAGGATGGTTGAAAATTCAAAAAGCTGCTACTAGACTGGGCAAATGGAGAACTGCTTTCATCAAAGTGGATTAATAAAGTGGTTTAGCTCATTTTTTTTCTAATGAAACAAAGGCAGAGAAGTTATATGGTTTCTCAGTAAAATAAGTGGAAAGAGTAAGGATCAGTGGGGTGAAAAAATTTGAAATAAACCCCAAACATTAGGACAAAGAAAGGTAGAAATCTACCTGTGGACAGTTTAGGATGGAAAACAAATCTTTTCATGCTATATAATCATATAATTTTCTGGATCCTATTTTCAGTATGAGTTATGACTGTTAATAAAGGAAAAAAAAAATCTTATGTATTCCCAAAAAAGTGCAAATCCCTTGCCTCAGTACTAGAAGACTATGTGATTTTGTAGAACTGATGATGGACATTATTGCGAACCATTGAAAAGTAGTGAAGATGTGAAAAGTAGTAGTATTACCTGTTGGATTGTTCTGTTGATTTTACTTGTATGTATTTGTTACCTACATATGTATTATCTTTAAGTATGGTTTGGCTTTCTCCTTTTTTCTTTTCCCTTTTCTTTTTTTTTTTTCCCCTTACTATCTATAGTTTTTAGTATAATGGGAACTGTACCTGTAAGTATGTTTTCATAAAATTTATGTTTTATTAAACTATTATATCCCAATCTGTTGACCACCATCTATTTTTAAAAAGCAATTTATTATTCTCACTAACACATGGACACAAAAAATGTAACTTTAACTTTCTATGCATAAAATCAAGGAAGAAGTCTTACTTTTTTTTTTTTTTTTACAAGCTAAAAGCCAGTAGTTAAGTCTAGTGTTTGGCTATAGTAATCCCTAGATTGTTCTAATATATTTTAGCTCTATGTTTGTTATTTGACTAAAAAGTCTTTTTCTCCCCTCTATATGTGATTATTTCCTAGGAGCTGGGCCTTGTGATTACAGGAACTCTGCCTGTCTTCAATCTAACAAAGGAACAAAATGGGAAAATAGTAAGCTATTACTTAAAGGGAAAAAAACCTGCAAACAGTTCTTTGAATGAAATGTAATGCTAAACTCCTTGAAAAATGTGTATTTCCATAGAGCTTCCTGCAGTTTAATTGTCTTGTACACCAGAAACAAAGGGGTCATCTCTAGTTGCCTGATAACCTCCTGGGAACAAGAAAATGCAGATCACCCTTTTTTGTAGCTCTAAGTTTCAGGATATGACATTCTTTGATCTATCTCTGTGACCTGGTGGCAGTGGAAATGCGTTAAGTGCTTACTAGATGGTAAGAAGATGATATTATTTAGCCCTTGCCAAGAAAGGAAGCCCAAATAAATTTATAACAGATCTGTGAAGCTTTAAATTAATTGGTTGTAATGATAACAAAAAATAGGACTGTGTACTTAGATTACAATCTAAGTATTAAATAAATACAATTCCCCATCCCTGTTACAGACTGATAAGGAATCAATTTATATCCTTTTCACAAAATCAAAATGCTGCTTTTTAAAAGCAGACCTAGAATATGCTTTACAGTGTGTGGTAAAATACTGTACATTTGGTGTGATACATTCATTCAGGTCAAAATATACAGAATTTTAGACAAGATACTCTTCGATTCAGTTTCTCAGATCTTACATAGACTCAGCATGAATAAAAGAGAATTTGATCACTACCATTTCTTCTATTTACATTCAGAATAGTTCTCATAGTTTCCCTTTAAAAACAAAACAAACAAACAAACAAAAACAAATTTCATAATCTTATCTACAAGATAATGCCTGGAACTCACTGCGTCTGGTTGCAAAGTGAGAGACTACTGATTATCAAAGGATCTCTTTCTGAGAAGTGAACCAGCCGTGGCACAGTACAGAGGAACAAGAGGCGAACTTGAATCTGCTTGACTTATGTCTCTACCTGAATTTTAGATTACATACTGCAAGATGCATCTTCCAATTCATATTCTAAATTTATTTAATATGGAGAAGGGATTCAGGTGACATGATGTAAATGACTGTGCCTCTTTTTTGTAATAGGAAAATAAATTACAAGTGAAGTAAATGTGGTGCCTGAGTCCCGGTTTCAAATACTGATGATTGTTATAGTCACTGTTTTTTGGGGGATTGGATGAGGTTTTTTTTTCATTCATCATTGTATCATAGCCAAAAGAGGTTCATTGTTTTGGGGTCTCACTTATCAACTGCCCAACCTAAGTGTGCAATAGTAGCTCTATATCGGTGCTAGTAATTTAGTATTTACATCATTGGCAATGTTAATGCATCATTTTTGCTTTCACTTGTTTTGTTCTTACATTTATTGTTTATTCAGGAAAGCATCTATACTCATCTTCATAAAGAGTTTTCATTTTCTATACTAAATTCCATATATATTTATTGTTATTTTAAATCACTTCGCTGTTATTTAAAATATTTAGAACAGAAACATAAGTAAATAGGTAATTTTTCAAGTCATGTCTGTCAAACATGAGATGAACGCAAAATCAAAATTCACTGACTGTTGCAGTTATTCTGCATTGTAAATATGTGGAACATATTCTAACATTTTGGAATCTTACCAGAATCAGCTGATTCTTGGAGTAATGGGGGTTGACGTCTCTTTGGAGGACATAAAAAAACTGACACCCCGATTTACGGTAAGTTGCTTGCATTGGTGGTTTCTCTTTATGTCTGATTTATGTATGATTTCTTTGCATGTTATTTCATAAATCATGCAGCAGTGACTGGATGCAAGTCAAAATACCAGCAGGCTTCTTTTCATATATTCTTTTCCATTGTTGTAGTTTTTTTGATGTTTTTCTCTCCAGCCATATATGTGCTTCTCTGTGAATTGTCCATAAGGATGCATCTGTCAAAGCCATCTTTTACATTGGTGGATATATTCCAAGCAATTATTTTCCTGTAGCTTAAGGCTCTGCTGTTTAGTTGAGTGTTTGCTTCTTATCACAGTGTAAAGTACACAGTCATTTCATCCAATAATAATACTTAGCATTTATATAGGACAGTTCTTTCTAGAAAAGTTCTTTAATATACATGTCTGTATCCTACTCAGTACGATTGATTTATATATTAAGATATCTAGCTAGGGAATTTCTAAGAAAATAACTAGTACTGTGGAAAACAACAGCCAAGGAAGCAAAGGAACATCATAAACTTGACTGAAAGCAAACGCAAAGTCCTGCATCTAGAATTGAATAATCCCATGCCAGTCTACAGGTTGCAGCAGAGTGCCTCAAAAGGCAAGAAAGGGCCTGGGGATCATGGTGGAGGACAAGCTGCTGTTAAGTTAGAAGTGTGCTCTTCCAGTAAAGGAGGCCAACTGTGCAGTGAATAGATGCATCAGAAGTACCGTGTACGAGTCTGATCTCCTCAGTACAAGAAATACACCGAGGGACTGGACAGAGTCCAGTGCAGAGCCACTGTGTTGTCCAAGGGGCTGGAGTACATGGCATACGAGGAGAAGCTGAGAGAGATGGCTTTGTTCAGACTGAAGAAGAAACCTATTGGGTTACCTAATGGGATTTTTAGGGAAGACGGCCCTCAACATTTCTTGAAGGTTTGTAGCAAAAGACAGGAGGCAATCAACATAGTTGTAGCAACGGAAATTCCAACTGGAAATATGGATAAAAAAAATAATTGTGAGGGTGCGTAAACACTGGAGAAGGTTTCTCAAGGACATTGTGGAATTACCATTGGAAGTATTCAAAGACCCTTTGACACCTAGTCCAACTTCAAAGTTGGAGCCTATTCTGAAGTTATCTCTGCTTTCAGTGAAGGGTTGTACCGGGTGACCGCCAGTGGTCCCATCAGCCTAAATTGTTCTGCAAGTTTATGATTCTAAAACAGTAAATGTTAAGAAATTTTCTTCTGTATGTTAATTTCTTGCATATTTCATGATGTCTGAGGTAATGTATTTTCATTAATATGGCCACTGCTTGAAACCATTAATTAATCTTTCTTTATTACTTAAAACCTTATAATGCCAAACTTCATTTCTTTCTTTCAGCTTTGTCCAAACGGATACTATTTTGCTATTGATCCTAATGGGTATGTGCTACTTCATCCAAATCTCCAACCAAAGGTATGAAAAACCTTCTAATGTATTTCTCCATAATAAGCGGACATTGCCAGAAATAACAGAAACATCTAAGATCTGCTGAAAGTGCCAGAGAACCAGAGAGCAATAGTAAAGATTTCTTAGTTGTGAGGCTGTCAGGAAAATTCATGGTGCATGTATGGCTTTATCCAAATCTGCTTTAGTCAGCACAAAGACCAGCATTGCCTTGTATTGAATTTGGTTATCAATAAAATAAAAAGGTATATGTTTTACAAACACATTTAATAAGAAAAAAAATCCCTCCAGATTGAGAGAAATGTATGGATTGTTCACAGATAAAAAGTTAGAAATAGTAATGAATCCCTATAAGTACTGAAAACCAATGTATCCATGTAGTTCAGCTGGTAATATTAAAATGTCTCATTAAGATGGTTTGAGCAATATATGGCCAAGATAAATGCAAACTGTCAATACACAGGCAAATAAGACTAGGACGGCTTTTAGACTTCAGTGGCACCCTACTCCTAGGTTATTTTTTAGCACTTAGTACATTTTAGGGAAACTTCTTAAGTAATGGAAGGCTGTATTTGCTGCCTTTAGGCATGGAAATATTGGTTGGTTTTTTTTGTAAATTGGATGCATATCCATCACTTTATTCCTCCCAGCTATGTTCCTGAGGCAGAATAGCAGTAAGTCCTTGACCTCTTGTCTGTGTGAGTGTCCTCTCTTGTTTCTTCACCAGAAAGTCCTATCATAGCTACTAGAGGGATAGCAGAACCCCTTTTCAGTACTTTGCTGTTTAACTGTCAAAGGCAGAGAAAGAAATTAAAAATTTGTCTACATATATTAGTGATTCATTTAATTCTTAAGCTGCGGGAAGTCAGCATTGTGAATATGCGAATTAATTTCCTGGTGAAGTAATGAATATGTTTGAAATCTTTTGCCAACAAAAGAAGAAAGAAAAAAATGCTTCTGAAGAAGAGAAAGAATAACTTGATCTTAACTACTGATGAAATAGCCCTTTTGAATTTTTTTGAAAGGACCCTTTTAAAAAGAAAAGAAGTGTAAGGGAAAATAAGGTTTTTATATAGTCGTTGTAATTCAGATAGACTTCAGTTCTCAATATATGCATTAGGTTTTCATGTGTTAAGTAATGAAAGTTTTGAATTGATTTTGCTTGGTGAGTTATTCTGAGACAAATATATGCATCATTACTGACAGAATCTTCTCCTCATTAAAGATTACTAGAAACTCAGATGATAGCAAGGGTTCTATTTACCATTTCCTTAGATGCAAATGAAATTATCTTTTTGTTTACAGGAGGAATATAAAACGAAGTAATGTAGTATTCTCAGTTTAAGCACAATCTTGTGAGGAAACTGATGGACATGGATTCTGTTCATCTCATACGTGCTAATATACTACAGCGTAAACTCGTTACAATGGAGAATAAAAAACTATATCTAGGCAGACTAAGATGGATTATTATGAAACTAATTGTCATGGTTTTGCTATGTAGTTGTCTGCTTAAAAGGATATGAAAGTCCAGAGATGTTTTCACATACTGCTTAAATGTTTGATTTAGAGTATGTTTAAAAAAGGATATTTTATGTGATATGTTTTATGTTGTAGAATAATGTCTAAATGTACTATTAAGCATCTGCATTATTATTATTGTTATTGTTGTTATTAACAGTTACACAGACTAGACTTTTTCACTCCCAGTTTGTTTGGGGTGATGCATGCTATTCAGACTGATACAAGAACTACGGTTTAAAACTAAGGTACACTACAAAGACAGATGTATTTAGAACTCATGGACTTTCTTTAACATGTCATTAATTTTAGTTGAACTTCCTGGTAGCCGTTAACTTATTAACAAACAACATCTTAACCCTCTTTGCCAGCAATTGTTCAATAGATGTAAACTAAAACATAACTACGTCTTTACCTTTGAAGAGGTGAGGGTGTGTTAAACTTCCAGTGGTCCCTTCTTCTGAATGTCTTCTGCTTTCCTTCTGAAAATCTGTTACCTCAAATCAAAACTGGTTCAACACAATTGATATTTTAAGAAATTGTCTTGCAGTATGATCTCACAAAAAAAAAAAAAAAGAAAAAAAAAAGCCCCTAAATTCAGAACTTGTGAAGTCATTTGCACACCTGCGAAAATTTAACAAAAGGCAGGGTCAAAACCAGATTAAAATCGTTAAAAACTTTCCCATCACGTTCTTATTTGCAAACAAAAACTACATCAAAGCACAACACAGGAAACCTTTTTTTTCACTTTCAGTTTAATATAATTTTCAACTGCCTAAAATACCATTTTTCCAGTTTGTGTATTTAGTTACACTACATTTTTAAGCAAATGCTTAATTTTATGTTTTTCTGCCAATTTTATTTGTGTGTCTGTGTGTATGTGCGTGTATTTTTCCCATTGTCCTGGGAGAGAACAGATGGATAGACTACCAAACAGACATAGTCACTGCAGTGAGTGCCTTAAGCATGTGTTAACAAGAATAGTCTTAACCAGATAATATTTGAAAACAGTAAATAATTAAATTTCTGAATGTGTTCTAAAGATTAGCATCCTTTTCTTCATTTTCATGATGATTCTTATCAAAATCCATTTAATGGTAAATATGAAATTCCTGATGCTTTCAGTAAGGTCCCGTATTTTGTCTTATGGTTTTTAGTTATGAAAGAAGTGTAAGAGGTTTTAAGAGCAGGTAAAACGGTAAACAAAAAATAAAACTCATCTTACTCTATATTTTAATTCTGGCAGAATATGTGGGAGGAAAAGCACTTTAATGACTTAATTCACATGATTTAACATATGTCTGGTTTTTGTTTCGCTAGAGAAAACCTGTGTGTAATTCTGATAGAGAGCTCAGAACTCTTGATCAGAATGAGTGTAGTCTCTGGTTCCAGTAAATGTGCACTGGAGAGTATAGATGTTGAGGGAAGACTTCCATTCTCTAAGTAGGCTGTTTACTAAGAGTGTAAAAATATAAATTACTGCTTTTTTGTTACTTCAGCAAATTGGTGTGGGCATACCAAAAGTTAAATTGAGAAAAAGGAGACCCAATGTACAGGTAACTTTGGATGGAGGTGATTAGTGCATTAGAATGCATAGACCTGGAAATACAATTAGAAAGCTTCTGCCCTGCTTACTAGGAAAAATCTAACTAGAGAACTGTTTACTTTGACAAACAGCTTCCAAAGCATGAAGCTTGCATCCTTCCTTGTTTAAATAATAGAAAACATGTTATTGGCTGTAGTGAAGGGCGTTCCATTAAATTATGGTGCTTTACTAATAGGTGCTAATTAGAGCCATGCTGTTAAAATGATTCTTCAGATTTTGAAATTAATTTGAAGACTGGAAAAAAAAAAAAAAAAAAAGAGACTACTTTTGCTGGCTTTGCTTGCATAAATTCAAAGTCAAGAGATCATTCTTATAACTTTAATGTCAAATGTTATTGTACAGTGTATGCTGTATAATGTTAAAGAATTCGAATGAACTGTTCAATTTTTTTTCTAGGGAAGTCAGAATAGGGCATATGTTTTATCCGCTATTTACATCAGGTTTCTCAGTTTAGCAAACTCAATTCCAGAGGATTAACTGCCATTAAGCGAACAGGGAAAAGGAAATTAGTAACATTTATGTAATGCAATCCCTAAACACTTATTGAAAACTTAAAAATCATTAAAGAATAGAATAGATTAACTGTGTAACTAACAAAATAACAAAATAAGGTACAATATACCATGTTACTTTCTTACACATATGGGAATATATAATGCAAAACCGGTGGTTTACATAATACCACCAGGAAAACATGGTGTAAAATCCTGACCTAATTCAGTTCAGTCATTTCAATGAGCCTCGAGTGGCTGTGTTTATACCACATGTAGAAGGCCACCTCTGGAATAGGTTTTTTGTTTATGCACTGGAGAAAACAGCACTGGAATATAAAAAAATCACAATTTTCTGCGCACCCTTGGCTGTTGGTGGGTTTGCCTGGCTGTGCCATCTGCCCAGGGAGGTGCAGCTCTGGGCTCCCATCCACTCCAGATGCCCCTGGATTTCCCTCTGGGGCCCAGGATTTTGCTGCCTAATTACCACAATTTATTGTAAAACCCTAACAGCCCGTGTCTTCATTAGCACTGCAGGTATGAGTAGGAACTAGGCTTCTGCAACTCACACCAAAGAATACTTCTGTAGAATTTGTGAGAATACTGACCTCCCAAAACACAGAAAAATGACATTTTCATAAACAGGGTTTTTTTACATTGCTGCACCAGTTCTTTCTTTCTTTGTTTCCTTCTTGATTTGTCATTGAAGTAATAGATCTTTGCCTTTATTTGTCATGCTGAAAATGGATCGCACTACCTTTATTTGCATGCTTCATTGCTAGTGATTTACTTCTGTTTTGTTTTATTAAGTTGTGCTGGTGAATGTGGTGGTGGTGTGCTTATTCTAGTCATGTCACGTGCATGACTGGAAAAAGAGAAGAGCAAACTGAACAGTAAGTTTGTTTCTTCATGGCTTAGAGTAAACCCCACTAAATGGCAACCTTGGAAGAAAAAATTATGGAGCCCAAATGATGGTTAAAAACACATTCTTAGGGGAAAAAGACATAGCAGGGAAAATAGTCTTCCATTTAAAGTATGGATCTAGGAATCTTCTAATTTCTAATGGACTTCTTTGTGCCTCAGGCACATCACATAATCTATCTATCTATGCTTAGTTTCTTCACCTATTAAAAGTTATTAATAAGCACCTTATAAAGAATGTGTGGTGATGTAAATCTTAAAAAGAACAAGAACAAACAGTTAATGTATACTTGAACTTTGAAGGACTGTTAAAGTTGACTATTTTGTCTTTGGGACTCCTTAACTATGGCTAGCCCAGGTTATCATTTGAAATGAATATTGACCTTGATTTGATGTGATGGCTTTTTTTTTTTTTTTCTATTTTTTACCATTTCTTTTCTTCTCCTTTCCTTTGTGTGTTGGAATGGAATGTGAACTTCACAAATGCCTCCTCTGCCATGCCAATACCTTCATGCATGCTGTTTGGGTTTGACCATGCTATTCATTATCCATTGCATGTAAGAAAATGTATTTTTTTTAATTTATTTTTACATTTTAGCCTTTTGCTATTTATTTTGTGAGTGTGGATTTGGGGGGGGGGGGAAAGGAACTTCATAACAATAACTAAATTGTTTTGAATTAGCGATAGCATATGTTAATGCTACTATATTAAAGTTGCTAGTTTTATCTATGCTATACAAATAAGAATATAAAAATTTATTTGAAGTTATCAGTAGACATCTAAATGAAAAGCCCGGGTTCTTTGTCTGAAATCTTTCCAGGGCATAATCTCTTTCTGAGAATAAATGTATTGGCTTTTCTCTTAGCCGACCATAAGTCTTGCTAAGAAGCGGAATGATTCTATATACCCAGAAACATACACATTTGTTCCTCAAGAATATGAAGGAATAATCCTTTGTCTTCTAACACTGTTCTATATTACAGTCTTGAAAATAAGGACTACTGTTAAGCTTTTAATGTTCCAGACCATTATATGAAGGCATCTTTTATCAGCTATTCAGGACGTTACTTTCTTTCCAGTAGAAACTGGAATTACGTACACAAATTGTGATGAAACATGTTTGTATTCTTTGATAGACTAGTCACATGTGTATTTGTCATGTACCTTTGCCAGACAATGTTAGGATAGAAGGAATATAATCATCATTTTGAAAGAACTTTAGTCTACCCTGTTATAACTGAATCACTGAAATCCTCTAAAAATGTCATTATCAGAATTTACAGTAGTCTTGAAGTAATAGTATTGGCTAATGACAATTTTTGTCTTGTTAATCATATGAGAAACAATGCTTAGTTACTGATGAAACTAGGCCTTGAGATCCTTTCATGGATGAACTGTCCTATTACACAAAGCAAAGTATTACCCATCAAAAAAAAAACCACCCTGGAATTTTTTCATCTTTTATTCTAAACTATCAGATTTAAATGATTAAATAATATATCCCTGTACTGTTTTTTGTTTTGTTTTGTTTTGTTTTTCCTAAAGGTCCTTCATTAGGTAGGTGCATTAAATAAGTACTGACTGATGAGGACTGAGGATTTTTACACCACATGTAATATAAAGTCAATGGAGCTTAGTCAAAACTACCAAAAAAAAAAAAAAAAAAGAGTCAGATTCTTAAAAACTCGTACAGAAAAGGGCTCTGTCCAAGTAACTGCGGACAGTAACTGCGAAGGGAGTAGAAGCTGGAGGGTGGTCATAGTTCAGCAGAGCTACAAAGGTCTTCCCACACTCTTATGGGACCAGGGTTACTACAGATGCACACCACCAAACTTCTCTGTGCTCCATAGCTGAGGGTCAATATAATGTACATTCCTTAGGTCTTGAAGCTGCTGGGTCAAAGTATTTCTGTGCTACAGGTTTCCATCTCTTAAGTTCAGCTACAGCACTGATGTCAAGAAAAATTCATTCAAAACCATAAGGTGTACAGGGAAGTCCTGTAATGCTGACAATAACAGTGATTTTTATTTTTATGACAAACAAATAATTTGCTATAATTGCTGCCTCTTTGAGTCTTGAGCCACAGTCCATTCCCACTTCATGATGGCAAGCCTGTACTCTGCTTTTGGCAAAACTGCAGAAGAGTACAGTTGCCCCATCTTACTGGTCAGCTGGAAAACCCTCCCAGATTTCTATCACCCTTCTCGGAGGCAGGACACCTAATGAAAGATTCGTATCTGATGCTTCCTCTGATTTCTTTTCCCACCCTTACAGTCCATGACACACCAGCAGTAGGGAGAGCAGCTTCCCAGCATGAGCCCCATACATGACAGACTGTGGACAGACATGGGCCATTAGTGTTAATTTGATTTTCACTTACCCAATTAACCCCTCTACCCAATGAAATAAAATAAATGAGAAAGGGCCACTAGTAATTCATCATGTTATAAGAGATTAAAATAGATGGGTAAGTACACCCAGTTAAGTAGCTTCCTTTGAAATGATGGGATTAGAATGATTTGTAACATTACGGTACTCTGTCTTTATTATTTGATCATTCAATATCTTCTGCCTCAGAATCCTAAATCCCAGGAGCCTGTTACGTTGGATTTTCTAGATGCTGAATTGGAAAATGATATTAAAGTTGAGGTGAGATTACGTGGTTTCTTAGTACCTGTTGCTGCTTGTATTTCACTGCATAATAACTGAAAAGCAATAAATGTTCAAGATTTTGAATAGGAATTTATTTCACTATGAATTTAAATTTTTAATCTGTCAAGGTGATGACTTTATAGAGAGATGAATTTATAACGAAACAAATTGACAACCAGTATTATTCGTGGGCAAGGGCAATGCACTATATTCCTCTCATTTTTAAATTCTTCATTCTTCGTCATTAAGTGACAATTCCTGGGGAGGGAGCTTGCAATGTTTTTTAGAACAGAACAGTTTTTAATAGGATATTAAAATATTACCTGAAATATTTTAGAAATATTTTCCTATCTCTTACTAACACACAAGCGTATTGCTGTGGTGAGAAAGAGAACTGGGAAATAAAGTCTTGACAACAAATTCCTCATATATTTTTCAATTACTAATTTTGTAATAAATTCAGATATCAGAATTTTTAAAAATAGTTTGTTAATTTCGTGACATAAAATATAGGGTTTTTTAAACATTTTACATTCTTTTAACATTTTTGTCACTTCATTTGGAATTGTTCTTTCATAATGACACTATTGGTATCTCTTAAATTCCAACTTAAGGTTCTTTGAAACTCCTGTTTCAGACAGGAATTACTCTTAGACTGGAATAAAAATGTTTTTGTGAATCACTGCTGCTATCAGAATCACACAGATGCACTGGGGTGCACGAGAAATGCTAGATAAAACTCCTCCTCCACACAGAATTCATACAATTTCTAGTGCCCGACATCAAGGGGTTTCATGGGATAGTCTTGCTATGCAACATATACCAGAATTGCTGTTTCATAACTCTACTGATTCAGTATATGTTTGGATAAAGCAACCTTTAATCAGAAAAAATTGAATATTGTAAAATTAACTCTTTTTTTAAGAGCTATGACTTTCATATGCATTACCATTTTATGCGTTTTTATGAAATATGTTACATACAATATATATTTTATATATTATATAATATATATTATTTTATATGTATTATATGAAGTATTATATGTATTATACATGCAACACATAGTTTTGGGCTTTTTTTTTCTTCCTTGCCTATAGATCAGGAAAAAAATGATAGATGGAGAAAGTGGAGAAAAAACATTTGAAACACTGGTCAAGTCTCAGGATGAGGTAAGATAGGAACACAGGCAATTACATTTACAGGAACAATCAAAAACGGAAAAATACTGTGAAATGCTGAAAAGATGTTCATTCTGTAATGTCAGTCTGTATCATTTTTCCCTTTAGATTTACTAGTTTTACTGGCTTACACTAAAAGAAATTATGTACTTGTGAAAAAAAGAATTGTTTTGTTTCTTGGTTTCTTTGGTGCATCATTAATCAGGCAGTTGTTGATGAGGTCTTACACTCTGTACCAGGAAATGGGCCCAGCCTACTTCTGTGTATGAATCCCAAAACAAAATACTTAATCTGCTTGTGGAGATGTGTGAGGATGGGTTTTGTAGTTTATATTGTGGTTGAATGGGAAGAAAGTAGTGAGAAAAATATAACATTTATGTGCCATAAATGAACACTATTTGGGATAAGAGAATTCATCTTACACTTATATTACGTACTTGTACTATCTGAACAGCATGTGGAGTTCTTTGTTTCCTTCTACAAAATGCTCATTCATAACAAAGATTGCTACTGTTTCCTAGCAATAGGAAATACTCAAATTTTATATGTATCCTTGCATGTATGCTCTACTTCTTGGGGACCGTAATGAGAAGAAATCAGGACTGGTGTGGCAAAAAAGCAGTTCTGGCCAGAGCATACCCCACAGTTACACTTCTACAACAGCTTTTTAAACTGTTTTGCTCTGAATGTCCAACAGCTTGAAGATAGCTAATTTAATGACTTAGCAGAAGAATGTGAAGCAAATATAACACCAAGCAGACACTACACAAACCTTACATATATATGCATACCATAACAAGACTCAGCAGAATTGCTTGGGAATATGCAGTTAATTTTTAATGTATATTAATAGCTGCTCTCTCCTGTTGATCTTCTGCAACTTTGGTATCTTCGATGGCTCTGCTGTCTGTACTTAAATGGCAGAATAGTTCAGTGAAAAGTTCCTCCTTCTCAAAAGGCATATGTTACAGAATCTAATCAAGGTAAATTGACAGGAAATCAGGCCTCAGAGGTTTTGGGTGTTGGTTTTTGGTTTTTTTTTGGGGGGGGGAGGTTATTCTGTTAAAAACAGCACATTCCTTACTTATATTCCATTAATTGTCTAATAGATGGTAGCACATTTTAAACTCTGCTTTAAATTTTGACCACATTACACCAAGTGATGACCAATACTAACCAGTCCTCTGACTCAATTCTGCATCGAGGGAAGATTTTTGTATACTTATTGTCATTTTGATACACAAAAAAATATTTCATAGTCTTAGTCTATCTTTGCATTAAACATGGTAGAAACTTAATTGTCTTCATGGGTGAAAATCAGTGGCTATACACATTGGCGGTACTAGATGAGGCTGAAAATGGAGCTGAATTTTCTGAAACATGTCTCAGTCCTTTATCCAGGCTGTGATTTCACAATGTCAAGTTCATGGTCATTTGGTTCCGCAACAGACCTTTGGGAACATACTTAGAATCATAGAATAGTTTGGGTTGGAAGGGACCTTTAAAGGTCATCTAGTCCAACTCCCCTGCAATAAGCAGGGACACCTTCAAGTAGATTAGGTTGATCAGAGTCCTGTCCAACCTGACCTTGAATGTTTCCAGGGATGGGGCACCTACCACCCCTCAGAGCAACATGGTCCAGTGTTTCTCCACCCTCATTGTAAAAAATTTCTTCCTTATATCTAGTCTAAATCTACCTTCTTTTAGTTTAAAACCCAGTGTCCTATTGCTACGGGTCTTTTCTCCAGGGTGAACAACCTCAACTCTCTCAGACTGCCCTCATAGGAGAGATGTTCCATTCCTCTGAGTATTTATGTGACCCTCCTCTGGACCCGCTGTGACAGGTCCATGTCTTTTCTGTGCTGAGGACTTCAGGGATGGACTTCTCATGACCATTCCTCAGTCCCTTCGTATCTGCACTGGATTTGACAAAGCATGCTGCTTCTGATAGTGTAATTTAAAAGGAGTGCAAATAAGGACAGGAAGCCATGCTCAAGATCTTCACAACTGTGAAAATCCATCAGAGGCATTTTTTATTCCTGACCTATGGATGTCATTGAGGAGATCAGTAGTTTTACTTGCATGTGTGTCCACCTATGAGGAGACAGATTAAAATCTGTATATTCATTCAACTGCCTGCTAACAAGATTGTGACTTTGTTGCAGAAAGGTTGTCATGGTATTTTATTATATTGCAGAGTCTAGGGAATTTGACTCATTGTTTGGAGCTGTCTTCCTTCTGATATTTTATTCAGAAAGTGCGGAACCTCATAGACTGTCTTCTTGAGTATAGAACCTCAGGTTCAGTGGGGGCAGACAAATGTAAATGTAGATGGTTTTAGCTGAAAGATGATGATAATGACGATCATGTAATCATGTAGGCAGCAAAGTCATACTTTCTTACTTTAGTCTGTTTGATGGAAGTCAACTCAAGTCTTACACACTTACATTGTCCAGGTTCAAAGCGTGCCCATAAGTTATGGTCCTTGAACCTGTGGAGTCCCACGGTCTGTGAGTCCCATGCTCCTCTGTGTCCAACTTTGAGCTGTTTTTCACCTTTTCCCATGTTCTTCTAGAGCAGAGACCTGTACCAGCAGTCCCCTTGCCTTCTGCCAGAACTCTCCTGTGCATTCTCACAGCAAAGCCCCCATCCCGGCTCTCCCGAGTAAGGCTTTACTATGCTGCTTTACAATCTATGGGGAAAACCTGCTGTATGAAAAAAATGTGCCTTTTTCTGGATGGTTCCACTGTTGGAGGATGGTGAATGAATAGGGCCTTCCTGGGGCAGGGAGGGTAGGCCCCATCTGATGTCAGTTCTGCTACCTCACCTGTGTCAGGAGCCCATACTGTCTAGGAAGCCACCAGCCTGTTCCCCCATTCTGAAGGGAGACTGGATCATTCCTGACCCACTGTCGGAGAGTCTGAAGTCCTGCTGGCATCTGCGTTGTGGATAAACTGCTTCCGAAGGGAGGGACTCACTGGGACATTTTCAGACTTGTGTTGTTATTTTGTTTAAGGAGGGCCTCTCCAGTCCTGTGGGTGAAAAGGGAAGAGATCTTAGGCTGTGTGATAAAAAAGACCTGAAATATTGGTCCTGCAACTGTTTGTCCAGAGAGGGAGGGAGGGGAAACATTTAAACTTATAAATGCTGGAGTCAGCGACAGCATTGTAAGGGACATTGGGAATGTATGTGAGAGTGTGTCAGTTCTGCAGGGCTCCAACCACAATCTGTGTTTGAATAGAACTTCCCAAGCCTTTTGATCCCAGATGCTTCAAGGGCCCAATAACATCAATGTCCCTCACCTTCCCTTGCATCACAGCCCAAAATTTCTTCCTGTACTTCCTCTCTGAGGGAAGAAGGGAGAAGCCAGAGATGGCTGGCAATGGTGACTGCTTCAAGCCATTGCACCCTTCCAGCTCCAGGCTGCTAGAGCCAGAATAAAGCTGCTTCAGACCACGGGCCATGCATGAGCCATGCATCATTTAGGACTTGATAGCTTCATATATTTTCTTATAAAAAGGGCTGATGCGGTCAGTTGCTCTGAACTGACAGTTGCAGTTTTGAGGCTTAAAATTGATGTCCTTTTTGTTTTGCTTTTTGGTCTAAGTTTGCATTGCTTTCCTTTTGTATTGCAGCTGGCCCCAGCAGCGTCTTGGGAGATGACCTCATACTACAGCATAGAGACTGGACTTGTAGCAAGTGTGGGTGGGGTGCGCTGGAGTCTCCCAAGGCCTCAGGGGCTTTCCAACTAACAGAGGAGATGCCATAGGAACAAAAGCATTGCCACATTCGGGCAGCCAGGGTGGGAAGCAGTGAAAACTGAAGGGTCACAAAAACTGCAATAACATGTGTAGGTTCTTTGGTAGTGACCAGCTCGGGGTGAGATGGTCTCACACTGCTCAGTAGTGAAGTCGGCAAAGGTGAACGGGAACTCATGTCTGAGGACACATGATCTGCTGGGTTATCTTTGAAGGGAGGTTTCAGCCAGTTTGCTTTCAAGTATGTTCACAGCACTGGTGGCAACAGCATTTAATATGAGCCCAGTTCTTCTCTTCTTTCCCTCCCACCTTGGGCACTGCTTTTCTCTTGCCACTGGACATGGTGGGCAACCATGGCACTGTGCCTAATTTCGAGGGGCTCCCGGTGCTAGGTTCAAGTGTCTGATTATTCTTGAACTGAAGTAATAGTATAGGCACATTATTAAATATAAATAGGCTTGGAAAAAATCTCTTCAAGCCACCATTTTACCTTAAATATAAAATATATCAGGGCATTAGACACTGATAAATGCATCTTTTTTTTCCCCTTTTTCTTTTTTTTTTTTTTTTTTTTTTTTTAATGATTATTGAATTATTTTCCTGTCACGCTGTGCTGACAAGCCAGGTAATGAGAAGGTTTCAAATCATAAATGTCAAAACAGACAGCTTTTTTTTCATAACCATGGTCATTTTCACACTCATGTTTTACCACAGGGAAATAAAAAAACATAGAAGTATTTTGTAATGTTGCAGTGCAACAGCTGCACAGACTTCATTGCTGGCATACTTACAAATCTCTGATTGTAAAATAATAATATGTTACAGTTGGCATAAACTTGTCATTTTCAAAGTGGCAAACTGAGTAAAACAATGTCAGCCAAGTGCATTAATGATTAAATCTATGGGGAAATGTGGGACTATGTCTATCACATTATTTTTCATACCAAAAGAAAATGAGTGGTAAAGCTTATCCTAATGTATTAAGTTATTTAAAAATAAACATTTACTTCCATGTTAAATTTTTCACAAATTCAAGAGCCTTCTAATGAGATTAAGAACACATGCAAGTTTAGCAAGGGGTGCTTATACAATCAGGACTACCTGGATGTGCCTGTAGGTACGACTGAAATTTAAATTCATTCAGCCACTGGTACTGTGACCTGAAAGGCCAGGCACTGGGTCCTTTTGTTGTTAAAGAGTTACTTACAAAGTCTTCTTTTTTAATTTTTTTGTTTTCGTAATGCAAAATGGTCTGTAAAGGAGATAACATCTTTTATGAAATTTAAAACACATAGAAAAAAAATTTGTGTAGGCCTGGCTAATGAATTTAAAAGGGAAAATGATAAGTAATATTTGTCTTGTTTTACTTAAACTTGCATTTCTTTAATGTTCGATTAAAGGGATATCTGCAATTCTTTTGTATAATACAAGTTTGGAAAATGTTTAAGAAAAGGGGTTACAGCTCAACTCATGTTTTTAGCAAAATAATAAATAGAATTCCAACAGATTTGTACTTGATTTTACACTATATTTCTCAAGAAAAGGGCACACTTGTTGAGGCTTCAGAGTTAATCATTTATTTTTTCACCAATATCTCTTTGCAGAGATATATAGATAAAGGAAACAGAACATATACATGGACTGCTGTGAACGGCACTGATTACAGGTAACTTATTTCTGTTCTCTGACTTGTTTAGTTAAATGTCTTTTTTGTTTATTTTGGTTAATATTTTTAGCATTACATTTTCTATACTAGCTAAGTCAGAACCAGATCATCTTGTGTCCAGGCCTGTAGGATTTGCTGGGTTCCTTTACAGCTCAGAATTGTTGCTCTGTCTAAGGACCAGAACCTCAGTCTTTCATCCAACTGTTAACATTTATCACAAGGCTATTTCAGTATGCAGGAAAAAAAAGGTTTTACGACTGATGTTAAAAATCTTGCTTTTCCTCCTACTTTCTGTATCACACCATAGTTTGATTCTTAATTGTACATTTTCTCTTAGATTCCTCCTCTTGTTTCACCTCTGCATGGTCTCCATGTTCTTGTTTTAATATGCATATTAAAAAGGAAGATGCTATAATTTGGTCTCAATAAAAAATGTGAGATGTTATGTGGAAATCTTTTTCAGTCACAGTCATTGCGTATATCATGACTTTGCTGACATTCATGTCAGATCTTAGGGGCAAGAACTATGCTACTGATTATCTCCAAAATCTGTATCTGTTTGTGACAAGTTTTAGCTAATTATCACTGATACTGTTTTGCATATAAAAATCACATGGTCAATGACAGCAGGAACAAATGAAGTAATGGGTAAAAGCACATCCCCCCTTGAATGCAACTTCGGTGTGTATATTGTTTCAAACTCATTTAAGCACACAGCTCTGAAATACTAGAAAGAATGTAGCAACTTGACATTGTCCAAAGCAAGTTAAGGTTTACCAAGTTCCAGAAAGGTTAAACTACTCTAGTTCAAAACTAGATGGTACAAATACTAAGTCAATTTTTTACCAAAATGATATTTTTATTGTGGTGAATTACAGTAGTCCTCAGCCAAGCTGGTTCCCATGTTCTGTTATGTTCTGCACAGGTGTACAGCCAAGGAAAATGCCAACATTAATTTATATGCAAAACCAAACAAATGAGTTTTAACAAGATGATGTAAATGTAGGACTTTATCTTTTATTCATCATACCATTTTTTCTGTTAAACTATCTTTATACTCTGTAAGAAAAGAAAGTTTTTTATCAGGCTATGACATCTAGCAATTGGTAAAGAAATACATTTGATTTATATGACTTCTTAATTCTTACTGAGCTCCCTGGCATGAGATACAGCAATAAATCCATGAAGTCACATTGCAGCAAACCTATTAAACATAAAATTATAGATTTTAATTAGCAATTTCTGCTAGCAGTAACTGTTAATGACAGGTAAACTGCTACTGATTTCCCTAGAGGAGGATTGGTAGAAGTCTATCACTGAATATTCAGCAATCTCACTTACATTCTGTTTAAATGGCAAATGTATCATTAAAGGTCATCTTATTTATGGCTCAATTGTACAACTTTTTTAATGTTAATTTCTGCGGCTATCCATTAGAAACCATTTCAGTTTTACAGTCATGAAATCCGAGTGCAAATATTAAGGATGTGATGTGGGAGATGATGCTACCTCTTTAATGATTACTCGTACCTCCTGTCCTTTACATACCTTTTTAGAGTTGAACTCTTCTCCACTTGTATTGAATTTAGTGGCAAAAAGAAGCCCTATATTTTTTGAACAAAAATAAGTATAATCTAAAAGAAAATATATTGCAAATGCTTTGCAAATCTTAAAATGTTATTACACAAGGAAGTTCAAAGGATTTTAGTGGTGACTGCATGATTCAAGAAAATATTTTGCATCTTGAGCATAATGTGAATTCAAGTATTGCCAGATACGTTTCCTAATGCATACCAATAGTTGTTTTATTAGCAAAGGGAGAGGTTCTGTCATTATATGATGCATGCAAAGCTGTTCAGTGCCACATACTGGTTTTTACAATCAGT